GTGGTCCAGCTATGAAATTACAGAGGGCCAAGCAATAGTAAATCAATGAGGGAGTAATTTCGAATGACAGAAAAATTTACCAATCATATCTTTCCTCTAAATGGGGGGGCCTTGTTATCACTAACTTTATGACAAGTTCTGTCCGCTGTGGGGATCTCTCGGAAAAAAAAAAAATATGCTGATAAACTAACTTGCTATTATTCACATCACGATGGAAGCCGCAAATAACGTAAGTGAGGACATTTACTAGGCTTTTTTGTCATGAAGTGTCTGTCACTAATTTGTTGTGTGTCAGCGCTGTTTCTATAGTCTGTTTCTAACATTTGAGCAGATATGGTATTGTTTTAAAACCACATTTTTATTTTATACATCTGTTTCCCCCTAGTTTAAACTTTCACTTGAAATGCCTGTGAGCTCAGACATTAGACAGTTCCGCGGCGTGATTGTAATATAATATAATATAATATAATATTCACACAAACACACACACAATTATCAGTACATATACAAGGAATATAAGAATACATATCAATATATTGAACAGTGCATAGCTTATGTTTATTATTTTTTACATTAAATTGATGAGCTTGCATCAGTGTTATTTTAATATTATTATAGTTTTATTAATATTTTGAATTGTTTTCATTTTTATGCATTCTATTTTTATATATTCTTAACTTTAAAGTTTCAGTAATTTTGATGTGTGCTTTGTCATTTATCTGCAACATTAACTACAACTAACACTGAAATAAAAATGAATACACAATGGATATTTATATATATATTAATGAAATGAATACAAAATGGAAACACACACACACACACACACACACACACACACACTTTGTACTTTTGCTTTGGTTGAGTTTTTTTTATATATTTTTTTTGTTAAAGTAAATTTTATTTCGAGTAACGAATTTTTATTGTTTTAATTTTAGTCAAATATAATATCGCTGACTTGCATGCATTAAACACTGAACCTGGACTATTAAGCTTTTCATCTGTAAAGACTTGTTGAAACTTGATGCACCTGCATCCTCTCTCTCTCTCTCTCTCTCTCTCTCTCTCTCTCTCTCTCTCTCGACAGGTGGCGCTGTGTGTTTGGTAATAATAGAGTTAAAGGGGCGGAGCAGAAGGACTGTCACACACACACACACACACACACACACACGCACGCACCGCAGGCCTTCAGAACGCGTTGACTCTCCAAACACACACACCCACACTCTCTCTCTCTCTCTCTCTCGCTGAAGAGCCCAGCATCTATGGCATAAGCATCCTCCTCCTCATCTTCCCATCAGCGCGTGCACGAGCGCTCAGCATCATCACTGACAGCAGCGCGAGGGATTCTCACACAATGAAAGAAACGCGCGCAGCTTCATCTGAAGGTAAGAGCTGGAGTTCAGATCAGCATCAGACTGCTGGAATGAACCAGTGATACAGCGCTGTGATTCTGCATGTGTGTTTCATGGACCAGCAGCAAAGGCGGCTTGCTTTCCTCTCGAGACTCTACAGATTGTATAATACAGGTGTTCTGATCCAGAGCTGATCTATAGCAGCATGTTTAGGCAGGACGTTAGTGTTGCGCTGCTTCTGTCCTCCTAAATTTAGGAAAAGAGTCACTGGAAACGCCAGTTTTCACTTTCTAAACAGTTACAGGTGTGCAAACGTCGAAACTGCTATCAGAAATGTTGCAATCAATATTTGACTCCCATATGCTGTTTTCATGTTGCTATATAGTTTGTTGTTACTGTTGGTTAAATTACAGTTATTGTCTTTTTTTATTATTAGTATCAAGTTTGTAATGTTGCATGTGGTAACTAAATCAATTTATTAAACACTTTAGTCATGAGCAGATGGTTTTGATGCATGTTGTTGATGCATGATTTTTGGTTAATTGAGATTATAATGTTTGGTTAATAGACCTATATTTTGTTTTTAATCTTTATTCGTTCAAGTTTTTTGTTCACAAAGTACCTTCCATGAGTAGGTAGAAGATTGACAGATATTACGGCGAACAATGCGATATAGATGTCTGTGTCAAACATTTTATTGTGTAATTTGTATAGTTGTACATTTGACTGCTTAATTTGTAGTTGCTTTGGATAAAAAAAGTATCTGACAAATACATAAACGTAGAGCCACAAGTGCACAACACATACCGTGATGTACAACAGTATAGGTCTGAAATGAATAAAATGTATAAATACAATTATAATGCATAAAACAAAAGTAGAAATATAATGCATTTAATTTCACCTCAAAGCTAACATAAAGAATACTTTTTGTGATCTGTGTTGGTTTGAGGAGGATGGAGTCTCACTCCACTCGCGATCTGTTTGTGATTTGTTGTATTTGTGTAGGGTCGCCGTGATTTTGCCAAGTAAGACATCTTTTGTTGATCCTGGATCAACATAACTGTCCAAAAATATAGACTAAACCCAATCCCTACCCCTAAACCTAACCCTACCCATAATTTATTCCTAAATTCAGTGTGAAATGATAGCTGATTAACAAGGGTGTAGAAGCCCCTAACCCTGATCGTAAGCCTAAAACAGACATTTCCTGAAAAGTTTTCCCTCAATTCTGATTGGTTAATTGGAGTGATGTTCCAGGATCAACAAGGATGTTGATCCAGGAACGTGTTGTACTTGGTGAAATCACGCTCACAATTTGTGTAGATATACAGACCCATAGAGTTGATTTGAACTGCTGGCAAAATGATGGGAATTGCTGGAGAAGTCCATATTAAACATTTCATTCTGTTATTGGAAACTAAATGTAGTCAGTAGATGGTTGACTTCTGCCCTGAGGTGTTGCGGTATCATATACTTTAAATTTTTTAATAAATTGGCTTAAACATGTTTCTTTCTTGTCAAAGAGTTTGATTGACACCTTTAAATGAGGAGTGATTAGGCTGTTTGGCATTGAACTGCTGTAGATGCATGTCATTATTTAAACGTGATCGATGTTGATTTGAAGAAGATGGAGTCTCAGCGTTTCTGTCGGTTAAATCAAGCTGCTTTCTTCCCTCACAAGCAATCAAGACAGTAGTAATCGTGTGTAGCAGTGCTGATCTGATTCATTGTGTTGAAATCTATTAATTGATTTGTTCAGGTGATAAGCTCTGATTTACCTGGTTAGTCCATGTCTGTCAGGGGCTGTGATGAATTATTGATGCTGTAGACTCACAGCTCAGTGACTGTTCAGATGAATATAGTGCTGCTGATTGACAAACTCGTGACCTTTGTGGCCATCAGGTTGTCGCGCAGGTCAGTTTATGTCTCATTCGCTGGAATTTCTCTGTCAGAAAATGTTCCAAATCATTCAAACGAAAAGTCGTCTTTAAATATTTGCTAAAACATTTTTTTTCAGATATTATACTGTGCCACTAATTGCCACTTAGTGATGTTAAAGCTTGTTCATCTAACGCTGTCAATCACTCCTAAAATTTAGAGTCAAAAGTCTAATTACACAGATGTGTTTGATGAAACGTTTGCTTATATCTGCAGCCTAATGCTTTCAATTTACATTTTCAACAATGAGCTTACATATTTAGAAGTTTGTAAAATCACACAGATGGTTAAAATTGCTGCCAGACCTTCAGCTCTGTGGTGACTAGACGGGCAGAAGAATGAGACTAATTAAATGGAGATCTGTCTTGGAAAGGACATTAATTGAGCGCTGTAGTCATGTTGACTCTGGTCTTTAGGTCTTTAGGCTTCAGTAAGTGTTGGAGATCTTTAGATCCAGCCCAGATTTCACACAGAACGCAGAACAGAACTTCTGCAGAGATGCAGCACATGAACGAGCGACTTTGCACTCGTCTGTGTTTGAACGGAATTCAGAAGAGACGAGTGAATCTAATCGAATCTAACAAAACCTGTTTGAGGCATATTTCACAACAAAATCACAAAAATGCATTCAACAAAGCCTGTTTTTAGGACATGACCCTGGAGTAGGGTTGTGATGGTGAGGAAATTTTCCCACCGGTTAATCGATGAGTGACAACACCGGTAATACCGGTATCACCGTTGGGGTGGTGGTGGTGGTGGTGGTGTCAGTTCGTTTGAGTTTCCCTTTTTTCTTCGCTTTCAAATGGCTTGTAAAAGTGCCGCAATTCGGCGTCAAGCAATTGTTTGTTTGAGTTTTCCCACTTTTCCTCAGATTTCTTGACTTTCAAATAGCTTGAAAAAGCGCGGTGCACGTTTTACTTTCACTTTCAAATGAGGGGCTATTCAGCATTGATTCAATTCAAGCAGATTGTATAATACAGGTGTTCTGATCCAGAGCTGATCTATAGCAGCATGTTTAGGCAGGACATTAGTGTTGCGCTGCTTCTGTCCTCCTAAATTTAGGAAAAGAGTCACTGGAAACGCCAGTTTTCACTTTCTAAACAGTTACAGGTGTGCAAACGTCGAAACTACAAGCAACAACAATGTCAAGCTCAGAACTTTTTTTTAACAAAACGATTAAAAATACACCATATATGCCTATGCCTAATAAAATAACAAATTACTTGGGCTACACAAAGTTTAAATAGGTATATAAAACTGAAAATCAGCAAACACTGTGGAACCAAATAAATAAGAAACATAGAATGTTTATTAGCAAAACGAATAAGAAAGCTTGGAGGCACGGCATATACACCTTGATGTAAAATTAAATAAATAAAATGCACAAAGTTTAAATAAAGTAATCAGCAAACACTGTGGAACCAAATAAATAAGAAATGAATGTTTGATGAAATGAATGCCAAACAGGCGCCTTTGCATTTCCTTTCTAAACAATCTTCTGCCATCGTCTTGTCTTTCTCACCTCACTCTTGTCCGTCAGCTCGACTCACTCTCTTCACGTGATAAATAAAATATGATTCCTGCTCCGTGGTGCACTGTCGTTCGCGCACGGTTCGGCACGCTGCATTGAGCATTTCGTTTTTAAAAGTATCTGTCCTCTAACTGAACTAGGCTAAAAGATTTTTGTTACTATGAAAAAAATCAAAACGACGGTGGGGGGCAGTGCCGCGTTAGGCAAATTACAGAACCGCTGTTGCGGCTTAACACCGGTATAACCTAAAACCGTCTATTGCAGCAAGCCTACCCTGGAGCACAAAAGCAGTCTTAAGTGGCACGGGTATATTTGTAGCAATAGCCAACAATACATTGTATGGGTCAAAATTATCTTTTTTTTTAATTATTATTATTTATTTTATGCCAAAAATCATTAGGATATTAAGTAAAGATCATATTCTATGAAGATATTTTGTAAATTTCCTACTGTAAATATATGAAAATGTAATTTTTGATTAGCATTGCTAAGGACTTCATTTGGACAACTTTAAAGGCGATTTTCTCAATATTTAGATATTTTGCACCCTCATATTGCAGATTTTCAAATAGGCTAGTTGTACAGAATCTCGGCCAAATATTGTCCTATCCTAACAAACCTTACATCAATAGAAAGCTTATTTGTTCAGCTTTCAGTTGATGTATAAATCTCAATTTCAAAAAAATTACCCTTATGACTGGTTTTGTGGTCCAGGGTCATATATAATTTTTATTTATAATTTATAACATGTACATTTTGGTGGTAATTGTGTTTCTATGCACTGTTATTCTTCTGTGTTAATAACAGTTGATGCTGCTGCTCTGGAAATCATTTATGGCTACAGAACTGATTTATTGTCTTTGAGAGGTCGTTAAAAACAGGTTCATGCTGACTTGACATTGAAAACCATGTTAAGTGTCCCTGTGTCCTCTGAGCAGCGCTCTCTAAACTCATCTGATTAATGACTTATTCATGATGGACGTTTCTCATTTCTTTAACAGGTGGCGTGTGATTTAGAGGAGAAAAGCGCACGACTGTCCTATATGATGTGCATCGATCAGAGACGCTGTGTGGTGAGTAGTTTTGAAATTGAGCAAGATTTTACAGATACAGATGTCCTGTATCAGTGCTTTAGTGATTTAATGTTGAAGATTATTATGATTAGAAATCAAACAGAGACAGCAGTTGAATTTATTTTCTGTGCAGATGTTGTCCACACAGTTTAAGTTGTATTAAACCCGGATGTTGTGGATGTGGTTTGTGCTCTCGAGGCCTTTATGAAGATGATGGATGTGGTTCTTTGAAGATGGTGTTGTGGCTGAGATCTCACACTGGGATCCCCGCTGTGTGACAGTCTCAGAGGAGCCTGTTCTTTTGCCTCTTACATCCAGACAGCTTAATTGGCACATGTCAGGATTTATAGATGGAGATTAAAGGGAAAACCCAAGTTGCATTGCATGGAAAAGCGTGAGATCTGCAATGTCAGCAGCGAGTCGGATTCGGAAAATTAGTTTGTCACTACAACATTATGAATTCTAATACAATATTAATGCATGTTTATCACGTTGTGAGTAATTTTGTGTTATTAATGGAGTCTCAATATAGTTATTTTTTGTTGGAAATCGAATGAATAAGTAGTTAATGTATCAAATAACTACATAAGACCCTAATTTGCATAATCCAGTGGCTGATTTACTTTGCAAGTGTTTATTCTAATTGGGAAAAGGCTCATTGGAAATATGTGCATGTGATGACATTTCTGCAAAATTATATTGCATTGCTTCTTGCACGTTTTGAGACCCAGATGTCAAATGAGCGGTGCTAAAAGCATGTTCAGTTTTATCTGAAACAGCTGAACAGTATCTGCTGAAATAACAATGTAATTTCATTTTGCTTCAAGTCTTAGTGCTCTTTTATTTTTGTGACTTTAAATGCTCAACATTGCAATTGCAATGCTGTACCAGGTGAGCTTACAAGCAAGTTTACTAGGCCTATGTCAGAACAGCCAAACGTCTAGAGCTAGTTATGTGATGCAAACATCAAAATGTATTAGTTCACAAATCATGCACTATGAAAAAAACATTTTGAGGTCATAACTAGTGGTCGCCAATGCCGATATATCGGCCGATATTTGGCATTTTTCAAATATCGGCATTGGCCGATGCGTTCGTGGCGGGACTTTTATTTTGACGGCACTGAGAATGGCAGTGCCTGAGCACACAGTGCTCACATTCTCTCTCTTATTCACTGTTGTTCTGTCTAATACGGATAGATGTCTAATACGGTCTAGGATAGATGTCTAATATGGTCTACTAATCAAATAGAACGGTTAAACAAAGGAATTAAAATGTATACAAAAAGTATTATAACGATTGCTTTTATATTATTAGTAATAGAAAGGCAAACATTATAATACTTTCTTGTTTGTCGTCAGCATTCAGCAAATATGAATTTATATAATTGAAACAAATCTTTGAATGACTAATGAGCATTTAATTTCACAAACCTTGCAAACTTAGTCGGATCAAGCTGTGAGATCTTGTGAAGTGTGAATTGAATGCGGACAGGAGGAGAGTTCAGCTTCACTGAGATGCGCTATCGACAAACTTTAACTCGTGATTTCAAATTATGCTGTGCTGTATGCATTCACCCACTGCCATATGCATGTCATTTCCACTGTGTGCTTTATGTAAAATGAGTGTTAACTTGATTTTATATGAAAAAATATGATTCCCAATCCCAATGCACAGACTTCCCAGAATACTGAGTGCCCTGTTGGTTACAGTGTTTACTTCCTTTTTAATTATATTTTTATTAAATATTTATTTATTTGTGATATACTTTGTCATCTAAAGTATAAGTATGTTTATTTAACATAATTATTTTTTTAATCCATTTTCAAATGATTTAAAATTTCTTAAATATCAATTAAATTAAATAAAATTATATCGGCCATCGACCACCCTGGTTTCCAAGATATCGGCATCGGCTGTCAAAAAAAACAATATCGGTCGACCGCTAGTCATAACATAGTATTATGCATGAAAATAACTCTTTATTAATATATATTTTGCCACTGTAATTATAATTTTTGTGAAAAAGAATAAAAGCTATTGGTGTTTTACTGCTACTAGAGTTTATATCAGCAGGAAACTGTTGTGAATTGTAATTATAGGTATGTTTTTGCAGTTATTCAAAATGTAAATGACAGTACATTTTTCCAATAAGAAAATGTTGCTCAATTCTCAGTTGATTGTTTGAGCCTTTATGAGATTTGAACCCAGGATCCTTGAGTTACCAGGCCAAGGTTATGAATCACTGTGCTAAAAACACTTCATTCATATGCTAATTATGATACTATCGCAAATTAATTAGGTGTTAATGGTAAAACTAATTAATATTGATATCCAGTTTCTATTTCATGTCTTCTCTATTATGAGGGTTCTTACATCATCTAGGTTTTGGGGTGATTTGAGACATCTAAATTCAAACCTATTTTTACTTGAATCTTAACATTTCCTGCAATTATCATCTCAGTGGTTTTGTTAAGAACTGGTTTGATTATCTAATGTCTTTATCAATATTCAGGTGTTTCAGTTTTTAAAGAGCTTGTACGTTGATTGAGGTTTAACAGAGGAAATCTCCTGTTTAACCTCCAGTAACCTCGTTCATCTCCTGAGATGGCCAGTATTTTCTGAAATGCTAAAATCACACCAGCATGCAAGCTGTTCTTTTACACTCAGAAAATACGAATCACCGTGAAGTGGATGTTTTTTTTTTCAGATTAGACGTGCCCAATCCAGCTCCTGGAAATCTTTCCCGCTGAGTTGCAGGCCTCCAAAAAATCTGCCTGTAATTTTCAGGCAAACCTGCGGAGCTTGATTATCTGGTTCTGCTGTTTCATTGGATTTGAAACTGAACGATGAAAGAACATGATGCTGCCTTAAAGTCAATGCAGAATTATTGTATTTACAAAGTGAATGGCACCACAAAGTAAAAAAGTCATTTATATATTAGATAATACATTATTATGGTCATAGATGTTTCAGTTTGCTTCAGAATTGGGAAAAATAAGCGATTTTACAAGGGAACAAAAAGTAATATTTGCATGTAATCTAGTAGCCCTGCTGAAAAATAGCTTAAACTAACCTAAAGTGATCGTCTGGTCTCCCAAACTGGTCTGTTTTGCTGGATTTAGATGGGGTTAGACCAGCTAAACATCAGCTTGACCAGCATAAACCACCTTAGACTGGTTTATTATTATAATTGTTTCCCCTAAGTAGTCATCTTTGAGAACGAGGAGTGTTTTTTCTATCAGAAAACAAAGGTGGTAAGGCCACGTTTTCTCAAATAGTTTATACGTGGGTTTCCATCCGTTCTAGGTCAGTATCTCAGATGCTTGTCTATTATAGTATATGTAATCAGTGTGAATAAAGTAACATTTGCACCCTGTTCACTTTAAGGAGCTGCCGGCTAAAGGTTAATTGCTTTTGCTAATGTTATTGGAGCACCCTTCTAGAACTGGGTCGTGTGTGCTCCTTACAAGATGGCCTTTGTGGAAAGAGTGGTGTCTAACTTCATTCCTCAGAAGATTTAATCGAAAGTACCGCGCTCAAGGTACTGTTTCCTGCATTCGTTGTCGTAGTTTGTGCAGAAATACAAAATTCTGTCATTTGCTCACCATCACGTTGTTCCAAACCGGTTTGAATTTCTTTTTTCTTTGAAAACAAAATGACTCGGTCTGAGGCTTTCAGACTTAAAAGGAAAGAGATGCAAAAGGAACATAGATCTAGTCCGTAATACTTTTAACGTGAGAAAACAAAGAAACAAAGTGCACTACTTTTATGACACTTTTGAACTTCTTTGAAAATCTTCCACAGGAGAAAGAAAGTCCTGCAGGGTTAGAATGAACAAACGATGACCGAATCATTTTTGATTCATCTATTCCCTTATTTCAAGGCAGACTTTGCACTATTTTGTTTCCAGCACTGTGCTGAACAGACCAGCGTCTTGAACTCATTCAGAGGTTGCTGACAGCATCTGGACTTCTGTGTGCATGACTGCAGCGTTGCGTTAAATAGGCCAGTTGTGAATGAAAATCGATGGTGACGCTTGCGCTTTTGTTTACTCATCTGAAAACGAAGGACTTAAGTTTGCTTGCAGAGCCAATTTACTTATAGATCTTGTGCAGCATGCGGATTAATTTAATTTGTCTGAATATTTGGCCACAACAGACCAGACCACTCGGTTTGATGTTTAATAAGTGAAATAAACAAATGCAGTGATCCACTGATATTCATCTGTTGATGAATCTGTATTTACTTTGTAGATGCATGATGCAGTAAAAAGCCTTTTTCTGGCCTGGTGCATCATGTGAAGAAGGACACACATTTTCAGAAATGCTAGTTTTTTTTTTTCATCCATCAAAAACATGACTCACATTTGCTAGTGAGTAAACTTCATTTGAAAACAAAGCTTGAATGGTTTGTTTGCTGTGAGTAATTGTGTAAATGTGTTTGTTTGGAAGCAGCAATATGTGACTGGATACGGATGCAGCCACTGTAGAGAATATTATAGTTAGATTTATTATTTAACTGTAGACCTTTGCAGTGTACATTTGAAAGGTTAAGCTATATAGGAGCCAGTTTTATTTGATTTGGTCATGTAGCAGTTAACGATTGTTTAATTTATTGATATGTAGTCTTATAAAATTCTTTACTTGCATTGATATTCTGACATCAGTGGAAGAAATGAATTAATAAACGAACACCTATGATATATACATCCATTCTTTCCTTTGTTTCATGTTGCCTTAAACATACCTAAAAATGACCCATAATTTTTTTTCCAGAATTGTTTAAATTTAGTAATGAGGTTCATTTTATGCAAAAGGTTTATATTTTAATATTGCTTTCATAATGCTTGCACTGCAAGACATTTTCAAAGTTGTAAGTAAAACAAAGATTATTGGTGTAGGTTTTACAAGAAAATACTCTTTCAGTCTACTTCAAAATTTCATGTTTAATTTACTGTCACTTGCCATTTCTTTGTGATTATTTGTGAAATTTACTAG